GTCTTGTGGTTATTTGACAGGAGTTTTACTTTTAAACTGTAAGTGTATTTAATTTAGTTATGTAGTTATGTTAGTTATGATAGTTTAGTTATGATGTAAATACAATAAAAATTAAACCAAGATTTATAATAATTATCATTTTGATCCATACATTGGTAATGTCTGACTGGACCTCGTGTCATTTTATGTTCAATAAACTGGGCCCTGAGGTCAAAAAGGTTAAGAAGCTCTGGTTTAGATGACAACAACAAGCCACTAATATATCATTTTTACTTTAGATAAAATGGGAAAAAAGTATTTTCTATAAATACATAGTTTTGCTAGATTTTCTTCATCTTTGCACAGTGGACAGTAGGATTTATGTCAGACTTGTTTGTCATTTTTTTATTCAGTTCATGTGTTGAAAAACAGAAGAAAACTTATCTTTTTGTGATGTTGCAGTTTGTTTACCTGTTTACCTAATTAATTTTTTATTCCAAACAGCTTTTATTTATGTGGCTGTTTGCACAGAATGAACTGCTCAGGAGGATAAAAATGATTAGATACACAATAATTACTTGTTATTCACATAAATATTTGTAGATTTAGGTATTTTTTAGTTGGTAACAACAAAAACAAAATACCAGACTCACTTCTACACTGTGATGTATAGAGTTGCCACTGCCAAAAATCTAAAGTAAAAATTATTTTGAACTTTCCGATTGAAGGATTTGATTACAGAGCGCTCTCTATTTGTGTCAGGTCTTACTTATTGGCGTCTGAATGAGTGTGAACTGTATCGGCAGCTACCGGACAGCTTTGACAGTGGAGCTTTTCTTCTTCTGCATGAAGCCTCCACGAGTCTCGTGAGTGACATGTTTTTATACACTTGTCACTGGTTTGATGTAAGTAGAACCTGAGAAATGGCTTTTGTAGTGATAGTTGTTTCACATTGGTGTATTGAAACATAAAATTCATATATTTGATGCCCTGACATGTGCTCAGCTATAAAATCTTGATTAAACCCATAGTTGAACAGAATCATTAACACTCTGTATGATCAACCTACTTAAATGTTTTTCCCTGTCATTCAGAGTTCATCTCAGGAGCCTAGGGTATCCCTCAGAGAGATGTATCAAAACAAGCAAAGAGATTATAAACAAACTGAATGGGAAGAATCTGCTGCTTCCAGTCCTTCATCACCACAGGTAAGTCACTTGATTTGTATACACAATATCTTCTAGCCTTTGTCTGTTAAAGAACATTGTGCATCTTAGTCCCAGTTTCAACCTGCCACTGTATGTACTTTATCTGTCTCGAGTGATCTGATTGAAAAAGGCTCAGAGTGTTCACATGCAACGATTAAATGTACCACAAACATTTTTTTGCTATTGATATGTAAAAACAAGTGTGCATTGCCACGTAGCATGTCACTGCAGCATGGCTTTGCCTGCAGCATTGGACTTGCAGAATGAACTTTGACCAAGTTCAAATGTGTTTCTATACCAGCTTGTGCCTGTCACGTCAGCTGGTGTTTGTAATTAAGGTAACTGTGTGACAATATGAAGTTTGAAGTGATAGATTTTTTGTTTAAGTTGCATTAGCTGGGTTTTGAACCCTGATCTCCCACATGAAAGTCCATGACATAGACCATTAGACCAATGAAGCTGTGGCCGAAGGTGGTGGCAGGGGTTGGTTTGTATGTGTGCAGAAAGAGGCCACATTGCCAATACAATTATTGACATAAAATGCATAATATTACAACAATAGAGCAGTATTAAGACAATATTATAGTAAAACATCAAAATACAATCATATTAGTATTGTAAACACTGAACTATTGAGATTAAAAAAAAAACTATGTTGCAGTACCAAGTTGAGTACAGCTGGGAGCAGTATTGGACCATTGCAAGGCCCCATTGACTCCCATTATATGAATTTGGAATAAAGTTGAAACATTCATATTTCAAAAACTACAAGTTGTACAGGTACCAAAAGGCATAGCAATCATTTGGCACAGGACCTTTACAGATAGAAATTACAAAGGCAGCTTTTGGAAAATGTTTGCAGGAGCAGTGGACTTTCAGAATGAACTTTGACCAAGTT